GCTGTGGTGGCTGGGAGTAGCCACTGCACTCCAGTCTGGGAGACAGAGTGAGACTCCAACTCAAAAAAAAAAAAACAAGTCCTGCTTAATGCAATGCTTTCCTATTATTCTATTTTTTTTTTTTACTTTATCCTTGGATTGACTCTAAAATGCCTTTAGTATACTACAGATATTTCATTTTTGTACATAATATTCCTAATACAACTCAGTATTGCATTTTAATATACTACTCTTAAAATATTCAGTCTGTAATACAGACCAACTTTTAATTTTCTTGCTGAACTTATTTAGTTAACCCCAGTACTTAGTGGTGAAAAATAAACATCTATGCAATAAAGAAAACAATCAGTATTAACCTAATTTGGCCAACTTAAGTATTAATTCTTTCACAGTAAGAATTACCCAAACTTTAATATTCTAACCTTTCTTTTCTACATATTTTATAGTCTGTAAATCACAATTTCACAGACAGACCCAAATACAAGAATCTGTACCTTTGTATATAACCTTACAAGAGAAAATTAAGCATCCAGGTTATCTTCTGGACTCATTTGTGGTTTAGTTACATACCTGGGGATTTCACAAATGTATCTATGTATTAAAGAAGATAAAGTCCATTCAGCAGCCGACATAAAGAGACAGGGATTCAGGACAGTTGCCACAGGTGGTGAATACACGTGACGAGACTTTTTTAGCACTGTACCTGGTTATATTTCTCAAAATAGAACCACAGAGCCCAGAGAGAAAAAGCAAGTGGATACAAACAGAGTGTACATCACCCTTTAAGAGGGATCAGATGGGGGTCAGAGAGAGAAGCGGAGGAAAGCACTAGTGAGAAATCACACAGACACACACACACACACACACACACACACACACGTATACTTCTAACCTCTTCATATTGCTGCCAGCACATTAGCAAATACCTCTAGAGCAGCAGCTATTGAAATTCAGAGATAGCATGAAACAACTCGATCAATTCTTACTAGGATGTAACAAGATTGGAGATTACATGTAATTTCATTTAGAGAAGAAAAGAAACTTTATTTTCACTTACACAAGATTGATTAATCCAAGTATGCCCATTCCTCTGAAGTCTGTTTTGGGATCCTCACCCTGGAAACCAATTTCAGCCCACTGCTTGGAGATTCTAGCCTTCAACTTTTGGGTGGGCATTAGAAGATTCCAAAGCTGTGCAAACATATTTCCATATTACAAATAATGGCAATGTTCTTAATTTACCAAAACATTTTTCTACTCATACTTTATATAACTAGTAACAAATGCTTTCAATTAAATATCTGTTGAAGACAAATGACAGGTTAAGCAAAGATTATATACAGAAAACTTCAATTATCCTAAAATGCAGCATAGTTATTCCAATTTAAAAGATTGGCATAAAGAATAGATTTTGAAAAGGTGACCAATAATACACAGAAATCTAAAGCAATTCCTTATTTACTAATGAATATGTAGTTACCAGAACTGGTAAACTGCTTGCTTGAAAAGCCCTCAGTATTTAGGGACTTGGGCCTTGCTTCAGACACTGGTTACTGCCTCTATTAAAAGTATGATTAGTCATTAATCGGAAGAAGGAAAATAAGTCTGAGGGAGGCAGTCACAGAGAAACGGTACTGATGGTACTCGAACGGATATGATAATCACTTTACACATTTTGTTTTAAAATAAAACATAATATGATTTGGTTTTAAATAATATCTCTGGGAATGATGACTTTAAAAGAGCTATCAAATATCAGATACCGACAAACTAATCAATGTAAAATAAACTTAAGAAAATTTAGTCATTGTCTAAATCCAGCACAAGTCATCAAATGAAAGAGACTTACAGAAGTTGATTTTTAAGTTTGTGAAAGTTTATAAAACAGAACAACTTGCATTTTTGTTACCCATTTCACTACCACTTCAGAAAATGCTGACTCAATAAAAGGAGTACACTGCTACCTACAGTAAAATGTGAAGACTTGTGACCTTGCTCTGAAACAGGGACAAGCCTCTGGCTTTGAGGCTAAATCCTTAAATCATTAGATTAGGTTGTCCTCTGTCCCTACGTCTATCACCAACACATGTGATTTGCTCACAATACATCTCCCTGTGGATTCTGCTAGGAGTCTGATTATGCCATGGCAAGGCATAATCAAGGATGTGGTGAGAGCCACGGGGTTAAAACCACTAGTACTCAAAAGTTAATGCGCACAAGTATCAAATGCCTGGGTTCCACACCTGGGGACTCAAATTTCATAGAGGGGTGGAACTTTGGAACTGACACATTAAGTACCGGGTAACTCCCGTGAAGATGGCCCTGGGACTACACTTAGAGCAGCGCGGACTTCCCAGCTCTTCACCCACTGAAGCTGCTGAGCATGCGCAGTGGCCGGAGGGACACTGCTGCCACTGAACTCAAAATGAATCCCCAAGGTAAAAACTCCCTTGACTAGAATGGCAGGGCCTGTATCTTCTCCCTGAAGTGGGAAGGTATTGGGTGGCAAGGGTCTGAAATGAAAGGAAACATGATGGTGATGAGGATAGAAACAGCAGCTGGTCCTCCGTGGGTGCCAGGTACTATCTTAAACACTTTAACTATAAAAACTCAATCCGGTCGGGCTCGGTGGCTCAGCCTGTAATCCCGTGCTTTGGGAGGCTGAGGTAGGTAGATTGCCTAAGCAAGCAGATTCGAGACCCGCATGGGCAACTTGGTGAGACTTCATCTCTACAACAAATCAAAAATTAGCTGGGCATGGTAGTGCATGCCTGTAATTCTGGCTACTCGGAAGGATCGCCAGAGCCCAGTGGGTCGAGGCTGCGGTGACCGGGAGCGGCCACTGCACTCCAATCCGGGCAACAGAGTGAGACTCCAACTCCAAAAAAAAAACCAAAAAAAAACTCAATCCACACAACAGCCCTTTGAGAAATATTTTCATTGTCCTCATTTAACAAAATAATATCTTATTTTAATTTTATGGTTAGGTAGTGTTTATACTTTCCTGAGAAAAAGTTATTTGCTGTTTTTAAACTTGTAACTCTTACTGTTACTTAATACTATCAATGTATCTTTCCACAGTACTTTTAATTACAACAAACTCCTAACTCCAAGTGCCATGTGCCATATTCTCTAACTTTAACTACTGTAAAATAAAACTGGGATAGGTGCAGAGATGGGCAGGGGACACAGCTCTGTTCCAGACCCTGCTGCCATTCTGGTACCCAAGGCAAATTCCTCTCCTCTGGGCCTTGGGATTTGCATCCTAAAATGAAGGGAACAGTCCTGATGGTGTAAAAAGCTTACTTGAGGTCTAATACTCTAATTTTGGCATCTCATTGGTCTTGGGCATTTTACATTAGAATTTTAAAAAGGAAAAGTCTAGTAAATATTTGTAACTTTCTTAATGTTTAAATCTACTGTGGCATTATTGAGCAACTAATATTCCGTAAATCCATAAAGATTTGACATCGTAATCTGAAACGGGATATCCATGTTCACAAGTTCAAAGTAGCTGAAAAAAAAAGTCTAACTTATATGAGCAACTTATATAAAATTAGGAGAAAAATATGAAGCTTGTGAACATACTCTTTGGTTGAAAAGATCTCCTTTTGTAAATGTATAATTTATTTCAGAGTTAAAAGCATGAACATAAAATGTATTTGACTCTATTTTAATAATGATTACCAGAAACTTACAAAAAGAGTTAACTAGAAATATTTCTGAATCAATGAAGTCCAACATAATTCAACTGTCTAAAGGGCAAAGAGACTGGATGGCTATACAAGCCTCTGGAATTTGCAGAGACCTTTCTCAGCTCAAGCCTGACTTGTTTTTCTAGTGTTTAACAACTCCAAAGAAAGAAAACCAAAATTTACCTTCAGGAGGAGTTCTTCATGCTGCAGGTTGTCAGAATCATACGGCTTTTTCCTCACACTTTCCACATCCAAATAGAGCTGTTTATAACCAGTTATCTGCAGTAAGCATGTCTTCATGCAGATTTTGAAACTGAAAATGATAAAATTATTACTTTTAAAATCATGCCTCCTTATCACAATAAAGTATGCCTTCCATACCTGGTGTTTCCTAGGTCTATTTAGAAAGCAGTTTTCTATACAGGCTTTCATTTTAATACAAGATACACCAAGAATCTCCTCAACACAAAACGGTAGACAAAGTATCACGCAGGACTCGGAGGCCTTGAAAGAGGACAAAAGCTGGTAAGAATGGCAATTTTGCAACTGTAAGGATTTGTCCTCCTCTTCTTCTCCTGTTTTCTCCGGGGGATCCCATACTGACAGACAACACCAACAGACCAAGTTTTCTAAGTACATAAAAAGCAAAGTGCTCCATAACAGGTTACCTCAGTTCTCCTAAATACAACACGTCATCTTCCCTGAAGAAACATGCTCTTTCTCAAGCCTCTAAATCTAGTAATGATGTCACTAGTCACTCGTTCTCCTCGCTAGAACATTCCAGGTTCTGACTCGCCTCCCTCCTCAATACCTCAATATACGCCTGAGTCTCTGAAGTGTCCTTCAAAGCAGACCTCAAATCACTCTTTCCCCTGTGCATTTACAGCTGTCATTTCTTTCCTGAGTGACTCAAGAGCTGTTCTTTATTCCCTCTGCCAGCCTTCCACATCCCCAAATCTACTCCCCATCTTCCAAAAATACATATCTGATAATGCAGCCTGTTTGCTTAAAAACCAGAGGACAGCATTTAAATTCCTCAGCATGGCATGTAAGGTTCTTTGCAATGTATCAATCTGGCACTCCATTCCTGCCTCCAACACTGTTCTGCTCGTACTCAACACTCCAGTTACAAAAGACTCCCTGTTATTCCCAGATGCACAAGTATGTCTATGTCTCTGTGCCTTGCCAGAGCTGTTCCCCAACCATTCATCAAGGTTCAGCTCGAACGGCACCTCTTCCATGGAACTAGTCTCATAGTTCCCTCTAGACCCTTCCCTATCTTAGCGGAGATAAATTGTTCCTTGCTCTATATTTACATAGAAAATGCTAAATAAAGGAAAAAATACTATTAAGTCAAGATACCAGTGCTGGGAACACAAAGATGGAATGAGTCCTCTTTGTAGGGCACTTAGAATTTACTGAAGGAAGGACAAGAGTTAATCAATGGCCATAGTACAGTGGGTTAAATGGTTTGACAGATCTATGAGAGGCCAGAGCAAGGCACCAAACTCAGGCTGGAGGAGCCAGGGAGGACCTTCCTGGAGGAGAATACAGGAGTTGAATTTTGAAGGATGTGGCAACCAAAGTTACTTAACCGTGGGAGAGCAATGGTAGGTTACCTTGAAGAAGGCAGATGTGACACAGGCATTAGTCCTGGCCTAGGAACCACAAGCTATAGGCTCTAGGGCGGCTTCTCTCACTCACCTCTCTGGACCTTGACTCCTGTCTAGAAGTGACAGGGTTGAATCAGACGACCTCCACAAACCCTTCAGCTCCAAAGTGTTACAAACGCATGTGACCATCATATCTCACAGGCTACAAATGCACAGTGGAAGACAACAATGGAAAAACGGCACACCTGGCATCCTTCTCAGGGCTAATATTCTTTTCCCTCATAATATCTTCTACACATTTGTCCACTTCACTCTGAACCGCCCGTGTCGCCTTCTGTAAAACCTGTTTATATGAAAGAAAGCTGAATGAGAAAAATTCCTTATAGTGGAAAAAGAAGTACGTTTTTGAGATATTTAATCGACTTTACAAAGTGGATATTAAAATGCAAAAGAAAACAAATTTGTTTCACATTTCCTCTAGGGCCAAAATCGCGCGTGTGTGAGTATGTGTAGCTTATGTTTTTTAATATAAGAATCAGCAGGTCCTCAGCTGATGAGTTCTTAGCAAATGAGCAGCCACCAAAATGTGGTTATGAAGCAGATATTTCAACTACACAAAAATAAAAAATCTTAACTGAAGAAGTTAAAATTTAAATGCAGACAACTCAATCTTATATTATCTCCAGAGATCCCAGTAGTAACAAATTTGCATTGTCAAAATAAATCAGATCAAATTTGAAAATTACAGGAGTTTATTGTGCATACAGAAGAACAGTTCATGCACCCAGAGAAATTTCAAACCAAAATTGAGACGAAGTTTACTTTACAGCTGTGCCAGCACAGTTTATAATATAAAGGAGGAAGTATTTTGACCTTTTTAGTGATTGACTTCTTTATACATTAACATTCTTTTTAAGGCAAGCCGAGCTGTTTAAGATGACTTGTCCATAGTTGATTGGTTTAACCTCCCTGACTCATGCTAACAAGGTCATAAAGCTTTTGTTCTGTATTTATTAGAGTTGGTGTTTCAGGGAAATCAGGATAACTTAAGTCTTGGCTACAAAGCTATGGGTGACTGGCCTTGGGGTAATATCTAAAATGTGGTCTCCATATTGGCTTTTCTTTCACAGTAATGCCTTTCTAGTCTTTTTTCTATGCATATAAAACAGATGTCTTAAATAAAATGTCCTATAAACATCCATTGGAGCCTTCCTTTCAATTAAAAAGCAAAGTCCTTCCAGACCCTCAAAAAGTTCTTAAAACTCTTATTCCTCTAAAAACCTTCTGGTGTGCTTTATGCTCCAGGAAAATATTCCAGCTATACCTGGAGTTATGCCTCTGGTTCAATCCTGCCCATTTTTAAGCTAGTCCAAATACTAGGTCCAGGAAGCTTTCTCTCATTCTAAGTAGAAGTAACATTTCCTTTCCTAAAATTCCCATAATAATTTATCTGTAGCATTTTTAAGCCCCTTACCACTTTCTATATTACAGTTATTTTTATATATTAAGTGGAAAGTCCCTTGAAGACAGAGATTGTATTTAGTACATCTTTTCATATCTAAATATAACAGATCACTGATAAATAATTATTGAACAAATAAAGATATTTAACAGATGAAAACTTTAAGAAAGGCAACTGTTTCAATAAAACATGTAAAGCAATGCACAAAATTATTAAGGAGGGAGGGGGAGAGGGAGGAGAGAGGGAAGGGGAGAAAAGGGAAGGAGAAAGAGTAAGAAACAGATTCACCAGAGAACATGAAAAGGTAAGAAGAAAATGATCAAAGATTCTAACAGATAAATACGGTCAAAAGTCTAGTTTGTCAAACCCAAGAATAATATGGCTATAGGAAATGTCTCGAAACTTAAATACAAGCACTAGTAAAAGGACTAGCTTCATGGGTGGAAATCCTTTGCATGTATTACAAACTCTTAACACATTAAAACCCTAGTTCAATGTCACCTCCTCTGTAAAGCCTTTCTCAGCCTTGAAGTTATCTCCAGGCACACCTCAGTTAGGGAGCACTTACCACATCATGGTTGCTTACTTTTCTATGTTCACCACCAGCACTTGTTGCTTTTATTTACTCTTATGTCCTGAGCATCTAGCGTAGCCCATCTGTTACCAATTCGATGCTCAAAACTTTGTCCAAACATAAACATAAACTTAGGGCAAAGGTAAGACTAGAAACCAAGTCTAGTCTCTTAGCAATATTCTTTTCTGTATACACTATTCTGCCACTTTTTTTAAAATTGAGGTATAATTTAAATACAGTGAAAGGCACAGATGTTACATGTTCTGTTTAATCAGTTTTGATAAATGCACAGAGCCAAGTAATCCACATCCCTACCAAGAAATAGCACGTGTCACCCCAGAAAGTCCCCTTCTGCCCTTGCCAATCAATCTTTCTTCCAAGAAGCAACCACCGTTCTGATTTCTGTCACCATAGCTTAGAAGTTTGTAATAAATGGAATCATAAAGTATGTCCTCTTTGTGTCTAGCTTCTTCCACCCAATATCATGTTTCTAGGATTCAGCCACATTCTTGCTTTCATCTGTAATTTGTTCCTTTTAACTGCTGAGTTCCATGGAATAAATATACCTCGGTTTGCTTATTCATTCTGGTGCTGGACATTGGCACTCTTCTAAAGTTTTGGAGCTTTATTATGAGTAAGGCTGCTACAGACATGCCTTAGTACATTTTTTGTGAATACATTTTCATTTCCCTCAAATAGGCACCTAAAAGTGAAATTACGAAGATACAGGGTAGATATAAGGTTAATTTTTAAAGAAATGGCCAAAACCATTTCCCAACGTGATGATATCATCTCATATCCCAACTGATGTTGACAAACGTTAGTATTACTCTGTTTCATGTAGGTAAATTCACTGCCTCATCCTAGTGGGTATGCAGTGCCCTCACTGTGGTTTTAATTTGCAATTTATCTGATGTCTAATATTGTTGATCACTCTTTCAAGTGCACATTACAGGGATACTCTTTAATCAATCAAGTGACTGCTAAAGCCTTTTGCCATTTTTTAATTCTGTTGTCTTTTTACTACTGAGTTCTTTACTAAAGAACTTTAGAACTTTACTAAAGGTTTTTTACTAAATACAAGTCCCTCACCACACACATGATCTGCAAATATTTTCTCAGTCTGTGACTTGCATATTCATGTTCTCAGAGGTGTCTTCAATAAGCAGTTTTTATTTTGATGAAGTTTAATTTTTCGGTTTTTTAAAGTGGTAGCACTAGGTGTTTTCTAAAAGTAATCTTGGCTTGACCCATGGTAGAAGATATTCTCCTAGGCTTTCTTTTAGAAACTTAAAAGTTTTAGTTTAAATATAGGTGCAAAGTCCATGCCAAATTAGTTTCCATGTATGGAGACAGGAATTGAGGTTTGCTCTTCCCCCATATGGATATCCAGGTTTTCCAGCACCATTTATTGAAAAGACTTTCCTTGCTGAATTGCTTTGACACTCTTGTTAAAAAATATATGACATTTTGTGTGTGGTCTATTTATGCTCTTCATCTCTCCAATAATCTGCCTAGAAAGCCTCGAAGTCAGGTAGTCTAAGTTCTACAACGTAGTCCTTTTAGAAGATTATTAAGGCTATTCTAGGTCATTTCCATTTCTGTATAAACTTTAGAATGAGCTTGTCGGTTTCTTCAAAAATAGCTTACTGAGATTTTGATTAAAACTGCACTGAATCCAAAGATCAATTTGGGAATTCATATCTCAATAAAATTGAGTCTTCCAATTGATAAGTACAGTATATCTCTCCATTTTAACTTTTATCAGCAATATTCTCCAGCAGTTTTAGTGCAGAAGTCTTGCATACCTTCAACCCTGAATACCTTATGTTTTTGGATGCTTTCTAAAGTAGTATTGTTATTATTTTATTTTCCAAAAGTTTGTTGCTTACAGAAGTACACCATGTCCTTTGACATCACTGAATTCATTTAATAATGTTAGTTTTTGTAAATTCCTTAGCATTTTCTACATTTACAAAGTATGTCATCTGTTAGTAAAGACAGTTTTACTTCCTTCTTTCCAATAATATGTCTTAGATTTATTTTTCTTGTCTTACTTGCAGGACCTCTTACCTTGTTCCCAATTGAATGTGGAGAGCATTCAATATTTCAGTGTTAGCTGCAGGTTTTTCACAGAAGCCTCTAATAAGATGAGAAAGTTCCTTCTATCCCCAGTTAGGAGTTTTTACTCATGAATTGGCATTGGGTTTGTTAAAACAGTTTTTCATTATCTATTGAAATGCTATTTTTCTGATTTACTACATTAATGTGGTAAATTATATTCATTTATCTTGAAAACTCAATCATGATGTATTATCTTTTGTATATACAAGAGGGACCCCCCCAAAAAAAAAATCCCCAGAATTATCTTTTGGAGGGCAGGCCCCTTGTAGTACAGTATTCTCTGCTAGGTAAGTGTTCTAGGAACCCTTTAGGGTACCACCTAGGATTGTTGTGAAAGGATGTGTTTGCTTCAGTGAAAAAAAAATTTTTTTTTTTGAGATGCTTTCAATGCATTTGTCCATTTCATGACGGATGATTCATATAAAAAAAGGGTGGCAGTGAAATTTTGACTAAAATTAGCATTGAGCCCCATGCTGCACCCTCCCTATTCACCTGATCTCATCCCGAATGACTTGTTTTGTTTCCCCGATGAAAAAAGTTCTCACAGGGAAATGTTTTGCCAATGTGGAAGAGGTAAAACAAAAAAAATAGCAAGAGCACTGAAAGGCATCAAAATTGACGAGTTCAAAAACTAAGCAGTAACTAAAGCATCTTGATAGGTGTACTATATCAAACAGAGAGTACTTTGAAGGTGACTGAAGCTTAAATATGTAAGAATAAACAGACAATTTTTAATAATTAAATTCCAGGGGTTTTGGGGTCCCCTCTCATATTGCTAGAGTTTGCTAATGTTTTGTTAAAGATTTTTGCCCCTATATTCATGAAGGATATTGAATTACAATTTTCACTTATCATATTGTCCATATGTGGTGTCAGTATCAAAGTTATGATGTCTCATAAAATGTCTTTCTAACTTATTTTCTAGGAGTTTATGTGGTATTATTTCTTTTCTCTAAATGTTTGGTTTCAGTGAAGCCAAGACTGGAAATTTGTGCAAAAACTTTAAATTACAGATTCCATTTCTTTATTAAGTATACAGCTATTCAGATTTTTCTTTTTATGTAAGTTTTGATGAATTGTTTAAGTACTTTGTTTATTTAATTGAATATGTAGAATTCATTAGCATAAAGGTGTCCATAGTATCTCCTTATTGTACATTTAATGACTGTAGGCTGTAGTAATGCCCCTTCCACCAGTCTCAACATTTGCAATCTGAATTTTCTCTCTTGCTTGATCACTGTTGCTTGACAATTATTAATATTACTCAACTTTTCAAAAAATCACCTTCTGAGTTTTTTATTTCTATTTTGTCTGTTTGCTATTTCTTTGGCTTTTAATCTCATTTTTATTAAATCATTTACTTTAGCTTTAATTTACTCTCTTGTAGCTTGTTAAGGTACAAGCATAGATAACTGGTTTTGCAATCTACACATCTGGACTCTACAAATTTTGGCATTTTTGAAGATATATTCAGTACTGGAGTATATAATATTTAGAGAAGTTCTTAGAACAGCAACTCTAAAACTTTTTTTTTTACCTCAAACCACATAAGTACCCAAAGCCCATTTTCCCAGCCATGTTTGATTCTTAATAAAGAAGAAATCAGTGATAATAAAGAATGTCAGAGTAACATATGAGTCGCAACATGTTTTTTAGAAAATATGCTTATCCATTTGATTGTATTATAAAACAATGTTTGATAAACATAAGAGTAATGCAGTCTTTATTACATGTACCTTGAAAGTAGGTTACAAACTACAGGAATAGCATACGTTTGCAGGCAACAAACATGAATAGTGAGTTTCACTACGCAAGCATATTGGAGAGATTATATACACATCTGGGTTAATACACCCACAGACTGTGAATGCTTTGTTTTTGAATGACAGTGCTTATGTTGCTATACACTTAAAGATTAGGTATTTAAAGTCTAGTTTTTGGAAAATTAGAGGTGAAAAAATATGCAAATATGCATCACTATACCGTCAACCCACAGACAACGAAACTGATGCCACAAAACTAATTTATTATCCAACAACTAGAAAATTGCCACTATTATTTAATACCCAAGATGGCAGCTACAATTAAAAAATACAGCCACTCAGAAACACTAATAGATGAACAAAGTATTCTTTCCTTAAATTTCAGAAATTTCAAATACCTGGACACGCATAAGTAAGTACACTGGAGGGTTGCAACAGTGCCATGTGTTGTGTGGCAGCCAGCCTTCTTAGCAGAACAATACGTTAGATTCCTCAAATTCTAATAAAGTATTAGTTTTCTTTTATAATCCCCAAATTTACTAGCCCTTTATATGTAATTAATAAACAGTCCTTAGTATGAAACACAGGCAACTAAGACTCAATTTCTAACAAAGAGATAATTTTCACTGTGAAACAGTTCACAACCCAACGGGGCCATACTTTGAGATTGCCGCTTTAGGGAATCAGCCTGAACAGATCAAAGTCATTTTTTTTTTTAAGGCATGAGGTACAAGTCAGGATTGGATACATAAGTGGTTTATATACAGGTAAAGTTTGGGCCTCCCATTGGACCTCACTTCACCTGGATTAGGATCAGGTACCCTTACTGATGTGATGGACTGCCCCTCTCCCCCACAGCAGTGCCCCACTACTGCCAATCCCTTTCTTGCAGCACTATGCTAGATGTTCAGGGTCCACTTATGAGGGGGGAACATGTAGTACTCAGTTCTTTGTTTCTGTGGTGGATCATTGAGTATGACAGACTCTAAACCCATCTAAGTTGCTGCGAAGTCCATAATATTGTCCTTCTTTACGGTTGCACAGTATTCCATCATGTATTTGTACCTCGTTTTGTAAATTCCATATGACCCAGCAATCCTCATTCTGGGAATATACCTGAATACACTCAAATCACTCTACAAAAAAAGATACCTGTGCATGCATGTTTATTGTAGCACTATTCACAACAGCAAAAACATGGAACTAGCCATGCTGCCCATCAATATGGACTAGATCAAAATCACTTTTATTCACAGTAAATCATCAGTAATGTTAAGTATCTGAGTACCTATGAGGTTTCCATAAATATTTTAAACTTCTAGAATCCTTGTAGCATATATTGCCTTAATTCCATTGTCATTAATATTATCAGTAACCATTATTTGTTGAACTTATCATGTCTTAGGCACTTTCTTAGGCTGCTTTCATTTAATATCTCTAATTCTAAAACAACCATGTGAGTATTAATATCTTTTATGGGTGAGCAAGGCAATACTTGAAGTAGACGAAGTCAGGGAGTAATGAAGGGGGCCGGATGGAGTTTAGTGCAGAGCAGTGGCCACGCTGGCAAACTTCCAAGCAGGGAGATGTCAAGTATTTGAAGGGACACACCCCTGAAGAACTAGGGGTGGAGGCTGGGGACTGTGGGTACAGTATACAGAGCTCAGCTACAGTTTTACTTCCTTTACAGTCTTAAGGATTAAAGAATACAAGTTTCACAGAAAATTCATTCTCCAGAGTTCAGCATCCAAATAGTTCCAAATTTATGACATTTTGAAGCACAACTTGTTTAAGGTCAATTTAAGAAAGGCCCGGTGCGGTGGCTCAAGTCTGTAATCCCAGCACTTTGGGGGGCCAAGGCAAGAGGATTGCCCGAGCTCAGGGTTTCGAGACCAGCCTAGGCAACTTTGTGAGACCTCATCCCTATAATAAATCAAAAAATAAGCCAGGCGTGGCAGCACACACCTGTAGTTCCAGCTACTTGGGAGGCTGAGGTGGAAGGATCACCTGAGCCCAGCAGGTCGAGGCTGTGGTGGCCATGAGAGTGCCACTGCACTCCAGCCTGGATGACAAGGGTAGGAATCCAACACACACACACACACACACACACACACACACACACAATTAACCACGCTTTAACAATTCTGAACAAAAGAGTAGCACTCTGGACTCCACTCTACCCCCCCTACGTATATGAATTATTCTTACATAGACCATTCATAAATAAGAGTGTAAATAAATCAGTAAAGCACCAACTTTATAGGTAACTCTTCAGAAACAAATATGCCTCCAACACTCAACAAGGTCCATTCGGTTTCTGGCATAAATCAGCAACTCATATCAACATCACTAGACAGCAGCAAGTCACCATTTTGGGCCTGATCCACATTTTACATCATGACCAAGTACAAACATCCCTATGGATGTCTAAATATACACAGATGCACACACACACATACATAAATAAAACAGTTACAATAGTATAAAAAAATTCCTAAAACATTACTAAACCTTGTTATAACCAATGATTTCTAAATATTTTCTATTCTATTCCTTTTGCTGTTGTTTAACACTGGCTGCAATCTATTATGGGATTTCAAACAAAGAGATCCAGATGACCCATATTCATTCTATCTTTGTCACATCAAATAATCCATATGTAGACAAAATATAACAGCAGCATGTGATAGACTGAATTACATATCCATGGCTTCTTGACCTTTGGGCTAAAATCAAGTGAATTATGCACCCACCTGCCTACCATGGCCTTATAGTAGGCACAGCATATTTCTCCACCCCTTCACTTAGGCTTGGCCATTTAGCTTATTTTAACCAATGGGATGCTAATAGGTATGACACAAAGAGACTTAAAATATGTCTATGTGGTTAAGTCTCAGTTATCCACTGTGAGAACATTCACCAGGAACCCCTAACCACCCAATACGGGTCCCAGATGAGACAAATGGAATAGACCTGAACTTGGCGTGAGCTTGAAGAACATCTCCAGCATACCCATAAACTCATGAGCAAGAAACAATATATTGTTCTATTCCCCTGAGATTTTATAATAGTTTGTTACATAGCAGAAACTGATTAATATGCAGCATGAGTTTAGCTCAAAAGGTACATGACTTTTTGAGGGTTTTCTGTAACTAGATAAAATTGCTTGCTTTTCTCTCTCATAATCTATCCTGAGGACAGTCTAAGAGAACGCTTTCCTTCTGAGACCCTGCTTCCCCCAAACTATTAACTCTTAAGGTAAAAACAAAAGCAAAAACGAACAAACAAAAAGAAAGTAAAACCTCAGAACAGGACAAACTGTTCAAACATCTTCTGTGTGCATAAAAAACACCCACATCGAGAAAATGTTTGGAAAGCAGATTATCACTTTCAAAGGGGAGGAATTTCACTCAATGTTCTTTAGAGCAAAAACTCTTCTACAGGACCCATTTATAAAAAATTAAGTCTAAAACTGAAGCATTGTTTTAAGAAAAAGTAGTTCAAGTTAAGTTTTCTAGAATTACCACCTTGATATAATCCTACCTTATTCTTGGAGTATGTCAAGGAATTTTCTGAAATGAAAAAAGAAAAAAAGAATGTTACCACTTAAATGCTTTTTGTGAATTATTCCACAAACAGCAAAAACATCAAACCAGCAATAAATTACTTTAATAGGTCTAGGAGATATATTTTCACATGAATAACACAGCAAACATTTTAAAATTTAATTCTGCAGTATAGCAAAGTAGATAATTCCAAAATCCTCAACATACCAAGCCCATGAGGTAATGCGAACCCCATTACCTAAGGTCATCTGCTTCTGTGCAAGTGTCCCTATTATTCACTGCAAATGCATCCATGGCTACCTCAGAATAACTCAGGTTCCAGAAACTCATCTTAAGACTACAGTGAGAGTGCTTTCTACTATGTATTCTTCACTTGTTAGCCTTACTGAGGGTTTAGATATGAGGCAACAGCAATTGAATTGTACCACGATAAAGAAGCAAAGACTAGATTAATCTAGCCAACGATTCTATAACCAGACACACAGCAAAAAAGGTTCTCTACTCTTAGCTTCTGTTTTAAAGATGACAAGAACATTTTTATGGATCTATTCTAAAATGTTTCTGGCACATATACCCATAGTCTTCTTCTCCGCAATTTGAAAAATTTAAGAAAAATGCTCTTGCCACAAAATACAGCTTAAATTGTACTCTTCCCCCACACTCTAACACACCAACCCATTCTGCCTGCAGAGATTTCTTATCAAGAGGTACTTTGTTCTTCTGAGTAGTCAAAAGGGCAAATCAAAAGAGCAAGCAATAATTTAAGTCAGCCTTGGAGTGTAAGACAACTAGGAAAGCAATTAAGCTTAATCATCCAGCTGCCTGGAGGCAGCTTCTGTCTATCATTCTCCCAATGTTGTCTTGGATACAAGTTCCGATTGGCAACACCCAGTCTCTCAACCTTACAGGGGTAGATTTCTTAGTTGAAGCACACTCATCAACACAAAAGGGGATCTGGCTAATTCACGATTGTGCATTTAACATTGTAGGCAGGAACAACAGCAGTTCTCTGGTCCTCCTTACACAGGCCGAAAAGAAGTGGCTTCAAACCACATTTCTTACTCATCTAATTTAGATTTAATTTAGAGCAGTATTTCCAATTAAGTATTGAAAACTCATGTATTTTAGATAGCAACAGAACTGCACTGCTCAAAAGAAATATAACGCAAGCCAAAATGTGAGTTACGTGTATACTTTAAAATTTTCAGCAGTCACACAAAAGTAAAATGAAAGGTAAAATTAATTTAAATATGTTTAACCCAACATAACCTAAATATTATTATTTCATCATATAATGAATATAAACAGATATGAGTGAGATTTTTTTTCATTCTTTTTTCTTATAAAGTCTTTGAAATCCAGTGTGTAGTTTATACCTACAGCACCTCTCAATTCAGACTAGTCATATTTCAAATGCTCAATACATGTGGCTTCTGGCTACAGTATTAAACAGGATTTTAAGTCTAATAATCTTTCCTAGGGACCACTGGATACCTAATTACTGTCCTTTCATAAATAGCAGTAAGAAAAGACTGATAAAGGAAGCTAAGAATAAAAGTGAACTTAGATTAAGGCACTCATTCTTGCCATAATTTCAGTGAAAATTTCAAAGGAATTATATATGTATAAAAATTTTTCTCCAGAAACCAGATTGCAACTATAACCTAAGGAACAACTGATAAATTTAAGGAGCCAGAGAAGATGATTCTCTGCACAGATACATTATTAACCACATTTTTTTCTATAAAGTCATATAATTTTAGAGCTAGAAGGATTCAAAGCAAGATTTCAAAGCTTATGAAACTCAGTGTAAGTGACTTGATCGGGATACACAAAGAATACATCTGTCACTGTGAGTATTGAGAAAAAACATTCAGAGTTAAATATCTATTAGCTTTTATCTTTTCCAAATGACATTACCTATCCTGTGTGTCCTTTGTGCACCCACATAGGTATCAAAAATTCGCTGCAATTCACACTTTCCGGTCATCTGCCGTAATAGCCATTTCATCCAAAATCGAAAAAAGTGCCCATAGAAGAACTCCCACAAAGAAATAAACATTTTTTTTTCCTGGAAGAAGAAATATATTAGACAAGTTTAATGATTTTTAAATGAAAAAAATTAGTTTATCCAACTGATCAAATCTCAAATTATATTAATATCAATTACTCCATTGTGCCTGTTTTGTGATAGTGTTTATTTAGGCATTGAAGAAACAATGACAGGTGTAATACCTACCACTTACGTTAATTAAACGATGGCTAGCCAAATGGTCAATTTATCACTTAAAAAAAACTAACTGTAAAAATCAAAACAACTTAAGCTATTGAATGGCTTGAAGGAATGACAGAATGATCTACATCTTTTGCTAAATAATTGTATTCCATACCTTAATTACCTATTTTAATTGGGGCTCAACAGTACCAGAACAAGAAGACCCCAACTAAGCAACAATTAAAACACACCAAACACTCGAACTGTTCTTATAGGAAGAAGCTTTTCTTAACTCTTGTGGATAACTCGTTATAACTGCCCCAGTTGGTGATGGTAAACACCTGGTTTACACGTTTAACACGAAGGACATCACACTCAAGTTAATTTCTGATTATTTTCCATTCAATAGGTGAAGGGCACAGAAACTATCAAGAGGGGGAGGAAAAAAAAACCCTGCACATCCGATAAAACTGGTCGTTATATCTTAAGAAAATTCTTCAGCTTCTAAAGGGGGGGGGCGGGTACAAGTGAAAGGGAGATACTCAAAAACATAAAAATGTTCATCTCCTTGCTGCCTCCAACCTTCCCGCAGACACATCCTCTCTGGACTGGGGCCCGAGGGATGTCAAACTCGAAATCCCCGCAGGTCAGTGCAGATAAACAGTGCCTGTCGCGGGGTCGATCGGTATCTCTAATTCGCAACCCACTCGCCCGTGCTCATCAGGACAAAAGCAGCAGAACTGCCAGCAAAGAGGAACGCCGGAGCGCCCCGGC